TAACACGAGTCTCATAAGTGTCCAGTTTAAGGGTATTACACAGAAACACACCACAGGAACATGAATCAAATATGTACTTTATTCATTTACAATAAATTCATAATGTACATTATTCATTGGAGGTAAGGGCGTATATGTACTTTATTCATTTACAATAAATTCATAATGTACATCATTCTGATTGGAGCTAAGGGCATACAACTGTCTAACAAGGGCTGCATGAGAGAACAACTTCAAGAACCTTCAACTTGCTCTGATACCAAGTAGAAACCACTATTTGCTTATTCAATCAAGCTTCTTGCAAGAGAAAGAGGGGGAAGGTGAAGATTTCAGCAGTAGAGAAGGATGGAGAAGAAGAAAAGAGTAGGAGGTCAACTAGAGTTATGAGAAAGTTAACCCTAGCCGCCAACCCCTCATTATATTTATATTTAACTTAAAGATGAGATATTACAAGGATGCCCTTAGTAGGGCGGCTACTAAAACTGAATAGTCACAACTTTAAAAAATAAAAACTAATGGGCCAAAGGCCCAACAACTTCCTAATTAAATAAAACAAACAAAAGACAAATCGGGCCCTCAACAAAACAAACCGGCCCACTCAACAAAAGTAAAAGAGAACTTATTAGAAAAATAAAAGTAAAGCTTTAGAGTTGTACTACCTAGGAAAAATCTTTAAAACTATATAAAGGCATTAGAGAGAATACTCATACAATAACCAAAAAAATGATTCCTAAGGTGAGAATATACAAAATTTCGAAAGACACCTATTAGAACCTATAAATCATCTCAGTGGTCCAGTTTAAAGTGTTTAGAGGTTGGGAAGATTTAGTGAAGAATAAGAGGAAGAGAAGATAAGAAAAGAGAGATATGAAAGATAAAATTGTTGGGTGTAGCCCTCTGATTAGCATTTATATAAATGTACATAAATTGCAATATAACGCTTAATTTCCATAATGACTAAAATACCCTTATAGTAGTGGTTCTTAATTCTTCTCCTAAAGCTGAGCATAAATGTTATATATGCCCAGCTTGCATAGGTTATCTTCCAACTTGGACTGTTGGACACTCTAAATTCATCAAGTTGAGCTTTTGACTTCACAATAGGTATGAAGTGCTTATCTACTTCAATGTTTGATGCTATCATGTTGTACTGGATTATTGGCAGTATTTATATAGCAGTCAAATTATCAAAGTATAACTTCATTGGGACTTAAAAGTTTGCACCCAACTTAGAGGAGTTCTCAACCATAACTTAGAAACCATATGTTAACTCTATACTCAGCTTATACTTGATCTAGAAACCACAAATTGTTTCTTGCTTCTCTAAGAAATAACATTACCTCCTACAAAGGTCCATTAACCGAAAATAGATCCCCTTTATCCTTTTGTATAGGATGGAAATGCAAAGGACCTGTGCACATACAGGTACATTTTTTATATGCAATTGAGGCTCCTATCCCTACTTTCTGAATTTTATTACAATCGCTATACCATTTATAAAAAATATGAATAATGAAAAATCAGGTTTGTTCTAGATTTAGGATGTAGTGGGCATGATGTTAAGAAAATGGAAATTAGTGCAAAGAGTTCACTTTACCATCATTAGTATCATTAATTTTTTGTTAATTTCCCTACTTTATTCAAGGTTTTCAAGAAAACTTTGATGACTATGACAGTTTGCCTTCCCAGTGATTTAGAAGGTGCACCTAGGTGCACAGTTGAGGTGCATTTTAGGGTACACACCTCGCCTAGTTCCTAGGAGTAGCACTTTTGCTCACTTTGCTTGCTCACCAAAGCTCCGAGAACCCCCTATTTGCTAATGTTGTTCATTCATCCATCCTAATAAAATATCTTCTTAAAAGTCAATTAAAATTGTAAAATCATTATTTTTTGTGTGAGAATTAAAAATTTAAGACCTTGACATGGATTTGTTTGGGCTTGCCTTAAGACCTATGGTACAAAAGCAGCTCGTAGAATCAGGAATGCAATACGTTTTACATCACATTAGCTACTTGAAGTAATGCATTTGAGGGGAAAAAAACATCACATTAGCTACTTGAAGTAATGCAATTGAGGGGAAAAAAAAAAGAGATTGTGGGTTTTACATGCCTGAAAATGTTTTATATGTTTGACTTATTTTTAAATTTTCATTTGAATACGATTTACATGTTATGTTTATGTATTTTAATTTTAGATAATAGTTTTTTTAAAACATTTATTTTAAAATTTTAAGTTTTATTTTTTATTAATATTATGTTTAATATTTTATTTTTGGCAATTTTCTAAATTTTCTGGCGTTTTTTTTATTTTTTTGGCATTTTTTGCATTTTTCTGCCTTGCTTCAAAAAGGCGTGTGCCTCGCCTTGCACCTTGGGCGCAAATTGCCCCTTACACTTTGCGCTTTTCAAACACCAATGAATATGTCCATCTTTTACTTTTAGAGTAGTATGAAGTTTCTCTTAAAGCTTATATATGTAATCTGTTGTGTTTGTGATTTTAGCCTTTCAAGAAAGCTCAACAAAGATCTATTGGCAGCTAAAAAGAAGATCACAGAACATGGAATTACTCAAAGCTACCAAAAGATGCATGCTATCTCTGATGTTGCAGCAAGAGCACGCTCTCTCCTTCATAAGAAATTACGGCAGCTTCGTGTATCTACCATGCAACCTTCACAGCATACTGCAACAGCTAATGGCCAGCATACTATAGAAATTAATGATCAGCACCAGGCAGCAGATAAAAGTCAGCATTCTACAACAGATGGCAGGGAAAGACCTGATTTATGCCTCAAGCAATCCCAATTAGGTATATATCCCCACTCTCTCTCCCTCTAGGGGTCATTGCTTGGTTTTATGGTAAATCTCAATCTGACAAGCATGATAACATGAATCAATATCCAGGCCACTTCTCCCAATGCCCCAAATAGCTGGGACCAACATTGGGTAATGGTTAGGGGTGATCATGGGCTGGGCTGGGGGAGTATGCCCCAAAACAAATGATTCCTTTGAAGCTTCCTGTTTTGCTAGACCATCAACCAAGAAATTGACTGATCTCTGGATCTGTCTGTTAATTTCTGTGCAGAACTGCAGCTTTCTAGCCAGCTTCCCAATCTCCCTTATAACATGTCTACTTATCCAAGAGCCTGTCTTTCTTGCTATATAGGTACTATCTTATATAGTTGGTGAGAACAGCTTATCTTGTAGTGTAGCCATTTTAAAAGTGAAAATTGTCTGCCTACCACCAAAGTTTAAATTAAGGAACTGAGATTATGAATCAAGTTTTTAAAAATCTCAAGTTCTGGTTTGTCTTGTTCTGCGAAAGGAGAAATAGGTTCTACAATGATTTTACAATTTCTTTTGAGTATTTCATTAACCTGAATAATATCCTGAAATTTTGGACATATTGCTATAAAAATGCCATTTTAATAAGAAATCAGGAAAGAAAAGAAGGGAAAAGTGAAAAAAGTGAAAGGGGTACAGAATGTTATGGTCCTTCCACCCAAACGATTGTAATTTATATTAAAGCAAATAAAGGTATTTATATACAAAGACAAGAATCCCCCTGAAACCTATATAAAAGAAAGAAAGAAACAACCATTAATAAATAACAGCAATAAATAGTGGGACCACAAGCTTAATTAGCTACAACTCTACACTCCCCCTCAAGTTGGGAATAGATATTAGTAGTTCCCAACTTCCGTAAATCTATCTCTAGCTTGACTTTGGTAACTACTTTGGTGAAGATATCAACTAGCTACATATCAAAGGCAACATAAGGAAGGCATACTTCTTGGTCAATTGATCTAATCAAATATCATTTCTCATCATCATAATATCATCAACATACATAGGCAAGAGAGTCAAGGAACTTAATAAAGAGTGTTGTCAGGCTGAACTTATACATAGCCAAACTTCTCCAAGGCAAGTCTAAATTTGTCAAGCCATACTCTTGGAGATTGCTTCAAACCATACAAAGCTTTCTTCAGTTGACAAACTTTCTTTCTAGCATTTGTATCATGAAAGCTAGGTAGCAAGTCCATATACACCTACACATCACCATTAAGGAAAGCATTCGTAACATCCATCTAGAACAATGGCCATTAGAAATTTGCAGCAAGGGACAATAATACTTTGATGATATTCATCTTAGAAACTGGTACAAAGGTTTCTAAGTAATCAATACCATAAATCTGTATGTATCCCTTAGCAACCAATTGGACCTTGTATTTGCTTTAAATACCCATCTACACCCAACAAGATTCTTCCCTCTTGGCTGATCCACTAAACCCCAAGCATCATTTTTAATAAGGGCATCCATCTCAACCTCCATTGCTTGCTTCCACTCAGGCACCACCAAGGCTTAATGTACTGTTCTAGGAATGAGTATAACAGCAACGGATGCCAAAAAGGATTTATAAGGATGGTAAAAGATGGTCATAAGGAAGAAATTTGGGAGATGCAATGGGCAGTAGATGTGGTACAATGACGCTTCCCTTTGTGAATTGCAATAGGGAGGTCAAAATCATTTGAGGGAGGTTGAGGCTCAGTGGCGATAGGTATGCCATCTGTAGTAGTCGTGGTAGTGTGTAAGGGAGTTGTAGTACCTGGATCTAGCACTGCAAAGGAGACTAGAATTGACCTAGATTATTCATGACCGAAACCAACTTGCCTCCATTGCCTATGAAACACCCTCAACTCTTTGTACTTCTGACAATTCTCTTCACACTCCCCATCAATGACCGGAATAAGTAACGAGACTTCCAGGGAAAAAATACCCTTCTCACTACTCTCCCCCTAAGATGAAACCCTAGGATAAGTACCATTTCTTCTTTCTTAGTCCCTTTTGATTCTACTTCCAGCTTTGGGTGGAATCTAGGGTTGAGGAGAACAATAAGGGATACGGATTTGGGTTGCCTGTCGTCCTTACTATCCACCCTTGAAAATGTTTTCTTGGACCCAAGTAAGGATGACTTCAGAATTTGGACCCCATCCCCCAACGGTTCCTTTTCCTATGCGTTGTTTTTTGAGACTTTGGTCCAACCTCCTGCTCCCTCTGGGCTATCTTTCCCTATTAATGAGATTTGGAGTAAACCCCTTCCTCCTCGTGTTGGTAGTTTTTGTTGGGAAACTTTCCTAGAAAGAATAAACACAAATGACATGCTTCAAAGAAAGAGACCTAATTCCTATTTACTTCCCAATAAGTGTGTTCTTTGCAAAGCTGATGGGGAATCGGCTTACCACCTTATGGTTACTTGCCCGGTTACTAAAACTGCTTGGGAGTGGGCTTCGTCCCTTTTTGGATGTACTCGGAATCCCCCCGTAAGTTTGCAAAGCTTGTTCTCTCCTTCATTCTCAAGATGGCCTAAGAAAAGAGGGAAGATCATGTGGAGAAGCATTAGGGCGGCTATGTGTTGGTCCGTATGGGAAGAGAGTAAATTTAGACTTCTTTCAGACAAAGAAAGATCTATGGAGAACTTAACTGAATTGATACACTTAAGGGTTGGTCACTGGCTGAAATCTTTGGAGCTTTTTTTAGTCTTGGCAATAAATTCGATTGAAATATGAGGAAGTAGAGAAGAGAAGGGAAGAAGAGAGAAGAGAAGAAGAAAGAAAGGAAGAAGAAAAGGTTTGGAGCAATGGAACAGTACTGGCAGTGCCAGCTTCTATTATATTATATAGGGTGGTAGAAACAAGAAGGCAAAAGACTCTTGTGCCCCTGCTGTAAGTGAGTACAATAACAGAAAAAAAAAGGCTTTAACTAGCCAAACAGACCCTAACACAAATAACTAAATTATTTCAACACTCCCCCCCCTCAAGTTGGAGCATAGATGTCAATCATGCCCAACTTGTCACACAAATC